TGGCTCCTCTTGATGTCAGGAAAATCTCCTAATCCCCTCAGAGCCCCTCAGAATCATCCCCCACCCCCCAATACCCAGAGTGCCAAGCCAGCCCCTAAGGCTGGAGAATATAAGCCCTGACTCCAGCCACCTGGCCTGTGGCATGGCCAGCTAGGTCCTAGTTGCCCTGGGAGTCGGGGAGGGCATGGACAGGACTGCAACTTCTCTTGGCTGAGTTCTGGGTCCAGGCCCACTCCCAAACAACCAACCCCAATCCTTGTGTTCCTTGCCCTAAAAGAGATCCTAGGGACCCTCATCCCTGCCATGGGGCTGTGCACTCCCCCAAGTCCCTCTTGGACGCCCAGGGGGGAAGCCAACCCCCATCATACAACCAAGGAGGGCCTCAAGCCAGCTGGGGTATGTGTGCAGCTGTGTGACAGCAAGTGTGTCTGTGCCTTCCAGCCACTCAGCTCCTCGGTTAATTACATAGTGATGGGCACCAGTGTCCAAGCGGGCAGGGATCAAGGTGATGGATCCCTTTCTCCTCCTTCCCTTGGTTTCTCCCTTTTGCAGGAGATGCAGCCCCAAAGTGCTCTTATTTAGGAGAAAAATCAGTTTGACATCCCTTTCCATTAACTGCTTTCTGACCTCATTGTGGGTAGAGGGAATCAAGGCCTGAGGGGCTGATGCAGGGTCAAGGAGGGGCCTGAGTTGCCCCTTCTCCATCAGTCCCCCATCCCCACCAAGGCTCAGCAGGCCCAGGACGGTGGAAGAGCTGCTTTTTTTTTTTTTTTGAGGAAGATTGGCCCTGCGCTAACATCTGTTGCCAATCTTCCTCTTTTTTGTTTTTTTCTCCCCAAAGCCCCAGTACATAGTTGTGTGTCATAGATGTAGAGTTGTAGCTCTTCTATGTGGGACTCCTCCCCAGCATGGCTTGACGAGCAGTGAGTATGTCTGCACCCAGGATTCGAACTGGCAAATCCCGGGCCGCCAAAGTGGAACACGAGAAAACCACTGCACCACCGGGCCGTCCCCGGGAAGGGTTTCTTACAGGCGCTATATCTCCTGCTTCCCTGTGCCTGTCCTCTGCTGGGTCCTGGGGTCCCCAGTGATGATAGCCCCGGGGACCCAGAGCCCTGCAGAGAGGCTTGAAGCTGGGGTCACATGTCTGGGGCTTCATAGAAGAAGTGTGATACCGAGAGGTGGATAGGGAATGGTGAAGAAGAGTCCAGCAGGTGGCAAAGGGGAGGGCCTAACGGGTGGAGGGCACAGCCCAAGTAAAGTCCTGGCAAAGAAAGAGCTGCTGCCTCCCAGAAATGGGGTAGCTGGAGCACTGGTAGAGTTGGCCAGGGCTGAGCTAGGGAAGGGTGGTGTGGATGCCAGGCTAATAGCGTGGGATGCCCCCAAGCTTCAGCGAGCTGAGTCAGGGGCTGAGGGGCGGGGTCCCATGGAGGGGAGGCATTGGGAGGAGGAGTAGCAGAAACACCACAGGGACACAGCCTGGGGGGAGGGGGAAGGGGTCAGGCTTTACTCCACAGGGGAGGAGGCGGGGCCTTGTCCTGTCTTAAGCAGGACCCAAAGGCCTCCCAGAAATGGGGGCTCTTGGGGAGGAAGGGTGTGAGCTTGGGCACAGCTAGGGGTGGTTAGAGACTTACTTGGGGGGTAAGAAGACTGAGCAGTCCCCAGGGACTGGGGAGGGAAGGAGACTCAGGTGGAGGTCATTGTGCTGGGGGCTGCGGCAGGTGGGGGCGAGAGGGCAGGGGGCGTGTAGGGGAGTGGGGGGGAGGGAAGGGGACAGGAGAGGACCCAAGCCTGAAAAAGGGCTCCATGAAGCTGGGCTGGAAGAGGCAGCAGTGAAGCAGTGAAGGCTCTCCCTGGATGCCACAGGATGCCCAGTGCTGAGGTGGCAATAAGAGTGCACATCTGTGTACCCCCACAGAGTGCCAGACCTGCCTGGCCCACCATTAACAACTGCAGGGCAAGTGAGGAGAGTGATCTGAGAGATTCAGTCTCCGCCTAGGGGGACACAGCCCGTGAGCAGCAGAGTCAGGATACAACCCCGCCCCTCCCTGGGCCACTAAGGGGGGTTGATTCCTGGGGCAGGCTCCCACCCACCCCCGCCAGAGCCTCCGGAGCCCCCCAACCAGCACTCCTGGGAGGGTCTCCCGGAGCCGATTAAGGGAATGTAGCATTTATGTTAATATATGTTAATGAATAGAGGGTGCCACCAGAGTCTACTTTTGCAGCATTCCTGGCACCCACCCCCTCTCTCCCCTCCCCCAGGCTAGGGGGAAGGAGGGGAGAAGGAGGCCCCACTCTCAGCCCCCTCTCTTCCCCCTATCCCCCCGCCCCCTCTGCTGGGCAATGAGGAAAACAGGAGTGAGTGAAGAGCTGTGATGTGGCTCGTGGGGGGGGCTCCCCCATCCCAGAGGGGCTGACCTCAGCCAGGGAGGAATGTGCAGGAGGCGGAGGGCAGGGGCGGAGCGGGTGGGGGTAGGGCCACAGCCAGAGGCCCAGGGTTCCTGGTGGCCCCTCCCTCAGCCCCTCCACCTCAGCTCTGACATGGCCCTCGTAAGGGAAGGGGAACAGTCAAGGAGGGGAGGAGCTGATCTTTCCAAAAAGGTGGGCCAGGGGTCCCTGGGAGCATGGAGACCAGGTTGGGGGTGGCTGGGGGAAGTGCCCCAACAGACCCCTTCCTGGGAGATCCCCCTGGGGTGGGTGGTAGATTGTCAGGGAAGTTTGGCCTCAGTCAGGTTCTCCAGGGCCCACTGCCCACCGCCTCCCTTCCCCCATGCCTAAGTCCTCAGGGTGGCACGTCCTAGTACCCACGTGGCCAGAACAGGGAAAAGTTGTAACTTTGGAGCCACAGCCTTGATGGCTAAAGCAGGTGTGAGTGGGGAACCAAGGCCCGACCCAGACCTGGCTGGGCACTGGGAGGGTTGGCTGTAGCCTTCCTCAGATGGATGACCACACCACAGAATCCAGGCAGAGTCCAGTGGTGACGAGGGGTGGGGAGGCAGGTGCTGGGACTTGGCATAACAATCTAGTTATTTCCAGAAGGAAAAACCATGGCATTGGCAGGCTGTACCGCTGACAGGCAGCAGCAGGGCAAGAACCCATGGATACCCTGGCAAAGGGTGGAGGCCCAGGATCCTGGGGTGCCCCTAGAACGGGGGTGCAGGCAGGAGTGTGGACCCCAGCTACCTCCCCTGGTTTGTCTCATTCTTTCGAGACCCAGGCCCAGGCTGCCTGATTCCAGAATCCTTGAGGACTTCCAGTGCCCAATGTGAACCACAGCCAATGACTCTGCTCCTAGAGTGCTGACTTCATGAGGCCCCTACCCAGGGCCTGCCATACACTTGGACCCAGGGCTGAGGAGCAGAAAGGAGACCTTGTGGGACAGGGACAACTTGACCTCCCACCCCTGGGGATCTCCCTTCCTGCTTCAGGGAGCAGAAGCATCTGGAGGAGGGAAGGCAATTAGAGGGCTCAGGTGGGCCGGCGAGCGCCCCGTCCCTCTGGCTAGGGGTTGAATTCCAGGGTGTTGGAAAGATGATGGGGGGATCTGGTCCCATTTTCCAGTATGGACACAGGGCTTGGGGGGAATGAAACAGAGGCTGGGACCCTGGGTCTGAAGAACTAAAAGTAGTGGGGTCAGGTAGGGGGCACAGCGGGGGAGAGTGGGGACCTCAAAGGCACTTGCTGATCTTGGCTGCTTGGGTGGAAAATTGTAAACAGCCGAAGAATTTTGTTTGCTTGCATGAGGCCAGGAGAGGCTACCCAAGTCCAAGGCGGGAGAGCCTGGGAGGAGGGAGGGGCCGCATCCTAGAAACCCAAGAACTCAGGCAGGGGTGCATCCCTCCACTCCCCCTCCTGAAGACCCCTGGTCCTCCCCCTGACCCCCACCCTTCGCCTGCCAGCCAGCCAGGCCAGTCCAGAACAGGAGGTCCTGAGGCTTAGGAAAGAGGAGCATGGTTCCACCCTGGCTGGGCACAGACACTTCTACTCCAGGGGACTTGCCAGCAGATGGGCAGCACTTGAAGCGCCCATACAACCTCCCTCACTGCCCCCTGAGGAGCTACTGATCAGGAGCCCTGGTGTGTTCACCCAGGTGGACCTGAGGGCCCCCCTTGGTCATTCTCAACACTCAGACCCTCTAAAGAAGTTCCCCTGGCAGTCAAATAGGGTGTGTCCACCAGTCCTAGCTTCAGGCCAAGACCCCAGACCCTTCCCAGCTCAGGTGCCGAGGTGTAGGAACCCCTCCTGTCTGTGAAGTTCCTCAGGTGCCTCACTCTGTTCAACCTGGGAAGAAAGACTGGAGTCACAGAGATTGCATAGAATGCCCTTCACCTCCCAGCAGAGATGTGGGACCACCTGTAGGAGGGGGTCTCCAGGTGGGCCCATACCCTACAGTGCAGAAGTGAGACTTGCTGGGCCTCTGGCATCTGTTGACTGCCCTGCCTGCCGCTCTCTGGACCTCCTCTCCAGCCCCAGACTGGCTGTCATCACAGCCACTGCCAGCCAGGTGGCAGAAGTACTAAGTGGCTCAAGTGGTCAGGAAGGACTGGGGCTGGGTCCTGGGGGCCCATCAGACCTCCAATTGAGAACCCCTCCCCTGACCTCAACTCTTCCATCCCAGCCGGCTCCAGGGAACTGAGGTGGCAGCTGAGCCCCTCGTTAACCCCTCTAGCTCCATAGCTGGTGAGGAACCCGAGTCCCCCGGGATGCCCCGACCAGCTGTTCCCTCTGCCTGATGCACAGAGCCACCTGCATCTGGGGGTCTCTATTTCTTCTTTCTCCTTTGCCATGACTGGCCGCCCCACTTCCAAGACCGCTGCCTGGGGCACCCTATTGCTGTGAGGCCTGGCAGGGGAGTGGTCTTCCCTACCGGCCCCTCCCTTGTGCCCGCTCTACTCTGGCCAGGACACCACCTCCAGCCGGTCCCGGCTGCCTGCCCGGTCACCGGATCCGCCCCATAAACTTGATGGCGTGTGGGGCGGTGGCTGGCTTGGTGGGGGCGGGGGCTGCTCCTTAAAGGAGCCGTCAGAGGGTGCCCCGTAGCCCCTAGGCTTCTCCCCTTCTCCAGGGCGAGAAGGGGCTGGGGAGGGGAGGCACTGCTGCCGGAGTTCTTGGTGGAGTGTGGGAAGGCAGCTGGGTGTTTTGTGGCGTCTCGGACCTCACCGGCCCAGAAGAGGCAGCGGCAAGTGTCAGTGGAGGGAAGGAGGAGGTGGGAGTCCTAGTGTGGGAGGGGCCGGGAGCTGCGGAGCTGGGCAAGGGCATGGGGGGAGTGGGCTGGAATGTGCCCCAGCAGCTGTGCCCCTTGATCACACCCCACACCAGGGATCCTGCGCCCAGCACCTGCCCAGCCAGCTCTAGGAAGGACAATGGGCATTGCAGGCAGAGCCTGGTCCCATCTAATGGGTCCAGGGAAGGGCTCTGGCTCAGAGAGGTAGAGGGGCTCAAAGATGGGGAAACCCTGAGAGCTGAGAGCGAAGGCAGGGCCGGGAGAGGCTCAGGGAGATTGCGGAGGCTTGGAGAGGGAAGGGCAGCTCATCCAAGCTGGGGGGAAAGGCTGCCTCAGGCCCTTGGCTCTCCCCACTTAATTCCTCTTGGGTCTGAAGTCTGAGCTCACAGAATTTCTGTGTGTGACCAGCCCCTTCCACCCTCTGGGGTGGGGAGAGAGAGAGGTCAAGCCCAAATCTGGGCTGCTGGATCCGAGTGGGAGCAGCCCCCAAGTCAGCAGCTGAGGCTTCTGCCCAGCCGGAGGGGCCCAGGCCCTGGGTCTCCTGGGCAGTACTTCTCCCTCTGAGAAATGGGTTTCAGGAGTGTCTCAGAGCTGAAGGCAGTGACTGACACTGCGGTTGCATTGGCTCACCTGCACGTCCAGAGAGACGCATACACTTGCATGTGCACACACACATTCGCACATGCACACGTGTGACACTCATATATACACATGTATACAAAGTGCACACACCACACAGGCATGTACACGCTGCAAGACATGCATACAGTGCCATGTGTGTCCACACACGCCACATATCTACATGTGTAACAACATGCATGCCACATGGCCTCACATAGACATGTACACATGTGCATGCATACACACCACACACACACACACACATCTGCAGTACAGATACACAAAGAGACCCTCAGAAACACATTCACACAGGCGCCCACACCATTGGTTCCAGCCCCAAAAGGGCCTATGTTTCTCTGGCCTGTGGGTGCACAGCTACCTCCAGAGGCCTGACCTCCTTCCTGTTAGTCCCACTCCCATGACCAGCTTGTTTTGCTCATTGCACTTGCCGCCTTCTGAAATGACTGCTCTGATCTGAGTCTTTGTTGGTACTCTGCCCCCTCCTCCACAGGGACCTTTTCTGTGTCCCCCGGTGTCCCCAGCCCCAGTCCCAGGCTGGCATGAAGTAGGCACACAGAGTTTGTGAATTAATATCTGTGAGTGTGTATACGGAAGGGAGGGTTCCTGGGGAGAGTGACGTGGTGGGGCAGGCGCCTGCCAGTGTGGGGGTGACCCCAAGGGTATGCCCAGTGTGGGTGTGTCTGTGATTATGGCCAGGCAGGGCACCCTCCGGAGGGAGTGGAGGGCTTGGAAGTGGAATGCCACCTCCCAGCCTCTTTCCCCTAGGGGCTGTAATTTGATCCCTGGGGACTCCCCCCTAGCCTCCCGCCCTCGCTCTTGCTGCAACTCCTTCTCTTCCAGATCCCGGGGCAGAGTCCAGGGCGGCTCAAGGCTCCTCCACACACGCCTGCTGAACCCTGAGCACCCTGAGCCGCTGGGATGGGGCGGGCTGAGGCCGCCGCCATGATCCCGAGCCTGGCTCTGCTCTGGGCAGCGGTGCTGGGGGGTGCCATCCCCAGCCTCCCACGCCTTCGGCTCTCCTTCCAAGGTAGGTGCACCTGGCAGGCAGAAGGGCCCAGCTCAGGGTGGCCAGAAAAGGGGCCCACTGTGGGTAGGGGCTGTGTTTGCTGTCACTCCGTGTGTGTGCCACCAGACCCGGGTTGGATTGGGGGCACTCTCAGGCCATCTCCAATTAACCCTGTCCTGGCCTCAGCCCCTAGCCTTTCTGCCCAGATTCTCCTCATGCTTTCCCAGGAAGACCCCTTTTGGTCCCATGGCAACAGATTCTGCCTCCCTCACATCCTCTACCCCCAGGGAAGTTGAGGTGTAGGGACCATTAGAGCCCCTTTCCCACACCCTCTACACAGGAGGGTGGTTAGTAGGCAGTGAGTGGAATAGCACTGAGCTCAGGCTGGTTGCAGGGTGGCAGAGAATGCTCAGCCTGACTTTGGTGTTGGGGTTCTGGCTTTTCCTACATGCCCGGCCTCCCCCAGAACCCTGGCCTCCCAGTGTGCCTGCCTGGAAACACTGTTTGTCCAAGCACGCCTGAGGAACTCAACCTGCTTTCCTTTTGGGGGGGCTGCACTGCGCAGCTTGGGAGCTTCGCACGTGAGTGGGCCTGCCTTCATAAGTGTAAACTCACATGCGTGTAAATTCACATGTGTGTGGGCCAGGTTTCATGTACAACCTTGGCCTGTGAGAGAGACAACAGGCAGGACTTGGGGGAAGCCTCCAGCATGGCTGGCAAATCCTCAGTGGAGTCCCCACCCTGCAGAGCTCCAGGCCCGACATGGTCTCCGGACCTTCAGGCTGGAGAGGACCTGCTGCTACGAAGCTTTGCTGGTGGACGAGGAGCGTGGACGCTTGTTTGTGGGTGCCGAGAACCATGTGGCCTCCCTCAGCCTGGACAATATCAGCAAGCGGGCCAAGAAGGTGCCAGGGACCCCCCAGCCTCAGTGCTGCCCAGGGAAAGAGCCCAGGGACCCCACTCCAGACTGCCTGGAGAGACCCAGGGGGATGGGCTCCCTGAGTGGACACCCTCAGCATGGAGAACCCTGACCTTGTCCCCGCTCCCCCACCCTCCCCATAGCTGGCCTGGCCGGCCCCTGTGGAATGGAGAGAGGAGTGCAACTGGGCGGGGAAGGACATTGGTGTGAGTGTTGGCTGCCCGGGGTGGGAGCGGGGAGGTCAGCCCCTCACTCTAGACCAGGCAGTGCTAAAACAGAGGCCTGCCTGTTCTGGCTGGGATGGGGGCAGGGGCGTCGAGGTAGCTGAAGTCTGGAGGCAGTGAGTCAGGGTGGGGGCTCGTGATTCTTCTTGGGAGCTTCTGAGTCATAGGGGCAATGCAGGCCTGTGCTTCCCCATACTCATTCTGGTGAGAGGTGGGCTGCGCTGGTCACCAAGGGCACCCAGGTCCCTGTGGCCCATGTTGGTACTTGCCTGGGCTGATACAGAAGAGAGGAAAGAATGGGGCTGCCACTGGTGAGCTGGGACCCCTTAAGGCCGCCTCCTTGAGGGAGGCTTCATTGTCCCTGCCCCTGCCTGCCCACTAGACTGAGTGCATGAACTTCGTGAAGCTGCTGCATGCCTACAACCGCACCCACCTGCTGGCCTGTGGCACAGGGGCCTTCCACCCAACCTGTGCATTTGTGGAGGTGGGTCACCGGCTGGAGGTAAGGCCAGGTCTCGGCAGAGAGGGGGATGGGAAAGTAAGGAAGGGCCTGGCTGTAACAACTCCCCCCTGCCTCCCAGGAGCCCATGCTCCGGCTGGACCTTCGAAGGCTAGAGGATGGCAAGGGCAAGAGTCCTTATGACCCCAGGCATCGGGCTGCCTCCGTGCTGGTGGGTGAGTCCAAAGGCTGGGACCCCAACAGAGCTCCTGGAACCCCTCAGAGACTCTAGAACCTCACAAAGTCCCAAGACCCTCCCTAGAGCCCCAGGGATCCCCCTTAGCCACACTGACTCCCCAAGATCCTCCAGGGTTCCACAGGCCCCCCCACCGAGAGCCTTCAGCTTGGCTAAGTAGCCCTGGCCCTGTCTGCAGGGGAAGAGCTGTACTCGGGGGTGGCCGCAGACCTCATGGGCCGGGACTTTACCATCTTCCGCAGCCTGGGTCAGCGTCCGAGTCTCCGAACAGAGCCACACGACTCCCGGTGGCTCAACGGTAAAAGGCTGGTGGGGCTGTTGGGAGGGGGCCCTCATCCCCAACAGGGCAGGAGCTGAGCAAGGCCCATAAAGAAGTGAGCAATGGGGGCCAGCGAGGTGGCACATCGGTTAAGTTCATGTGTTCCGCTTCAGCGGCCTGGGGTTTGCCAGTTCTGATCCTGGCCACGGACCTACTCACTGCTCATCAAGCCATGCTGAGGCAGCATCACACATAAAAGAACTAGAAGGACCCACAACTAGGATATACAACTATGTATTGGGGCTTTGGGGAGAAAAAACAAGAGGAAGATTGGCAGCAGATGTTAGCTCAGGGCCAATCTTCCTCAAAAAAAAAAAATAAAAGTGAGCAATGGACACAGCCAGGTCTCACCAAGTACCTACCATGCCTCAGGTCCTGAACTAGGCACTGGGGACGCAGGGCACACAAGGCAGGTATGGCCCATGCCCTCTTTGAGTTCACAGACCTCAGAACAAATACATGACAAGATCAATTCCAATGGCCGTTAGACCAATGAGGGAGTAGAGAGGAAGGGAAAAAGAGACTAGGTGGTGGTGGTGGTGGGAGGGTTGGGGAAAGGAAGCCACCCTGCTGAGGAGAGGTGTGAGCTAATTCCCAAAGCACAGCGGGATTGAGGGAAGAGCGTTGTAGGCAGAGGGAACAACTAGTGCAAAGGCCCTGGGGCAGCAGCAAGCCAAGCCAAAAACAGTTTAATGAAGGGAGCAATGATAAGGGTCTTGGACTGTCAAGGTCCAGGGTAGTTTATTCTAAGTGTGATGGGACCCAGCAGAGTATTTGAAGCAGGAATGAATGAGGGCATCTGCTTCCTGCTAGAGAGGAAGACTCATGAGTGAAGGTATAACCCATACCCCATCTCCCTCCTTTCTTGGCTCACTGGCCTGGAGAACTGTCATGGGTGAGAGGCCTGCCACTGGTGAGGGTCCCCCTCCTGCATGCCCAAGTAGCCACTGTCTCTGCTGCCCTCTCGTGGCTGCTTCTTGACTCGCAGGCTCTGATCCTTTGGATTCTTCCCCTGCTGAGCACCATCTGAACTTGGTCCTGGAGGCTGGGTGATCAGATGCTGCCCCGGGGGCTTCTGTAGGCACAAGAAGAAGGGGAGGCAGCTCAAGGGGTGGCAGCTTGTGGTTCTTGGAGTAGGGGGAGGGCCAGGACCTCACTGACCCCACACCTCCTGCTGCGGCCAGAGCCCAAGTTTGTCAAGGTATTTTGGATCCCGGAGAGTGAGAACCCGGATGATGACAAGATCTACTTCTTCTTCCGTGAGTTGGCAGTGGAGGCCGCGCCGGCACTGGGACGCCTGTCCATTTCCCGTGTTGGCCAGATCTGCAGGGTGAGGAGTCTCTGGGCCAGTTCTGGTGACCCCGCCCCCGCCCCTTTGCCCGTCTGGGCCTCGCCCTCATCCCCTCTGATTGACCCCACAGAACGACGTGGGTGGCCAGCGCAGCCTGGTCAACAAGTGGACAACGTTCCTGAAGGCACGGCTGGTATGCTCGGAGCCTGGCGTTGAGGGTGACACGCACTTCGACCGGCTCCGTGAGTGCCAGGAGTGGAGGATGGGGTGGGGGGAGAGAGTGCAGGGGCACAGATCCTGGAGCCTGGCCGGCTTGCAGGGCTGTGCGCCCTCCCCCAGCTAGACCCTGTCCCTGCAGAGGACGTGTTCCTGCTTTCTTCACGGGACCGCTGGACCCCGCTGCTCTATGCTGTCTTCTCCACATCTAGGTGAGGAGCAGGAGGTAGTGGGGCAGGGTCTGCTGGGCTCCACTGAGCCCCTCACCCTGCTCATGTCTTCGCCTGCAGCGGCATCTTCCAGGGCTCCGCAGTGTGTGTGTACAGCATGAACGATGTGCGCCGGGCCTTCCTGGGACCCTTTGCACACAAGGAGGGGCCCATGCACCAATGGGTGTCCTACCAGGGCCGCGTGCCCTACCCCCGGCCTGGCATGGTGCGTAGCCTGGGGACTCCCACCACAACCCACTTAAAGCCTCAGGGGTGGAGAACTTAGCCTGGGTCTTCTTGGTGAATGTGGTTTCTTCCTTTTGTTATGGGGTGGAAAAGTGTCACCTTCCTCAGACAGGGCTCCTCAGGGGAAGGCCACATTTTCCCCCTCAGACTCCCAAGGGCAAAGTTGGGTCTCGCCTGTCAGATTCCCAGGGCAGGGCTCTATCTAATACCCTCCCCTACTCCACCCCCCAGTCCAGGTTCTGGGTGGTCTCTTGTGGAGGGCTGCCCACCAGGCCCTCATGCGCACATCCCTGTAGTGCCTCCTCTCCACCCCCCAGTGCCCCAGCAAGACCTTTGGCACCTTCAGTTCCACCAAGGACTTTCCTGATGACGTCATCCAGTTTGCCCGGAACCACCCCCTCATGTACAATTCAGTCCTGCCCATGGGGGGACGCCCTCTCTTCCTACAAGTGGGTGCCGGGTATAACTTCACCCAGATCGCTGCGGACCGTGTAGCTGCTGCTGATGGACACTATGACGTCCTCTTCATTGGCACAGGTCAGGGCCCTGCCATGACCACCCACAAGACCCAGTCCAGGCTCTTTGGCCTGTTTAGTGAAAGCTCCCCCTGTTCAGTCTCATCTCACATCTTTGCCTGGGCTGTGCCCCCATCTCCTTCTGGATGCTGCTCTGATTGTTCCAATGCACATTTTTCACTGACCCAAACACGCTGAGGGTGGAGGCCTCAAAAGTGAGGAGACCCCTGGCCCTAGCTGTCAGAGCATACAACGAGTCACTTACCTCTTCTCACCCCTGCAGATGCCGGCACAGTGCTGAAGGTGATCTCGGTCCCCAAGGGCAGCTGGCCTAACGCCGAGGGTCTGCTCCTGGAGGAGCTGCACGTGTTTGAGGTGAGACCTAGTCCCCGTCCTTTGGGGTACACTCACCCCACTGAGCCTTCATCCCAGCACCCCTCCTCCCTCTCAGGACTCAGCCGCTGTCACCAGCATGCAAATCTCCTCCAAGAGGGTAAGTGACCAGAATGTTTGGGGATGGAATGGACCGAGCACGTTCCCGGGTGCCCTCACCCCCATGCCTCCCTTGGTAGTTCAAAGCCCTGGGTTTGAGTAGTAGGCTTTGCCTTGGCTAGACTGTGACCTGAGACTTCAGTGTTCCCATCTGTCAAGTGGGGGACGGGATTCCTGATCAATGGGAGATGGGCAGGGGGCGGCTCTCGGTCAGCCCGGAGCCCCTCGTGCCCCCTAGCACCAGCTGTACGTAGCCTCGCCGAGCGCAGTGGCCCAGATCCCGTTGCACCGCTGTGCTGCCCACGGCCGTGCCTGTGCCGAATGCTGCCTGGCGCGTGACCCCTACTGCGCCTGGGATGGGGCTGCGTGCACGCGCTTTCAGCCCAGTAGCAAGAGGTGAGCAGAGTCGGGGGCGGGTCACCGGGAGGGAGTCTTTCGCTGCCCCTGGCTAAAAGAGGGGCTCACGGAGGCTCCAATGTTCTCCCCAGACGGTTCCGGCGGCAAGACGTAAGGAATGGGGACCCCAGCACGCTGTGCTCTGGGGGTAAGTGCCTCAGCTGCCCCCACCTCTCAGCCCTTAAAGACGCCCCACCCCGCCCTGCCTTGCCTGAATCTGTCATTCCCCTTGCCCTCAGACTCGTCCCATCCCACGGTGCTGGAGCGGAAGGTGTTTGGTGTGGAGGGCGGCAGCGCCTTCCTGGAGTGTGAGCCCCGCTCGCTGCAGGCGCGTGTGGAGTGGACCTTCCAGCGCTCAAGGGAGGCGGCCAGCACCCAGGTGAGCCTCCACCTGATCCCTGTCCCAACCAGGCCCTTGTCCCACCGCCTACATCTAGGAGAGGCCTAACTCTGACTAATGAGGGCCTTGGCCTACTCCCCACATCTAGATGAGGTCCAGCTCCGCCCAGCGAGGCTCCGCCCAACCAGACCCCGTTGGTCCAGTTTGGTCCCTTACCTGCACTCCACACCCTGGTGAGGCCCCATTCCGTCTAACTAGGCTCCTGATCCTCCTCACGCACACACACATCCGAGAGAAGACCCCTCCTTCCTCGCCACGCCTGTTGAGGTCCCCGACCCGCCCCCCACAGTCAGGTGAACCTCACCTTGTTCAGGTTTCCACTTGAAGACCACCGGCCCCCATGCACCCAACCTTCAAATGTGCACCTGTGAGCGCCCCTTTCCCGTTCCCTCTGGGCCGCTGTTGATCCGTTGCTTCTCCCATCCGACGCTGGGACACTGGTGCCGGGGAGCCCTGGGCCGGACCCTGACGCCCCGCCCTCACGTTGGCCCGGCCCACAGGTGCCGGCGGAGGAGCATGCGGAGCGCACTACGCGAGGGCTGCTGCTGCGTGGGCTGCGGCGCGGGGATTCGGGCGTGTACCTGTGCGCAGCAGTGGAGCAGGGCTTCTCGCAGCCGCTGCGTCGCCTCGCCTTGCACGTGCTGAGTGCTGCGCAGGCCGAAAGGCTTGCCCGGACGGAGGAGGCTGCGCCCGTCGCGCCGCCGGGCCCCAAGCTCTGGTACCGGGACTTCCTGCAGCTGGTGGAGCCAGGCGGCGGTGGCGCGAGCTCCCTGCGAATGTGTCGTCCGCAGCCCGCGCCGCGCCCACCTTCTCCGGAGTTGCGGAGGAAGGGCCGCAACCGGCGGACACATGCCCTAGAGCCCCGGTCTGAGCGGGGGCCGCGCAGCGCAGCGCACTAGTGACTCGGCCGTCCCCACGCCGGGGACTGGGGAGGCAACGACAGGCGGGAGAGAGGGGGCGGACAGACCCTGGGAGACGGACAGCTGGGTGCCGGACACACTGCCGTCCCCGGCCGATGGACACCGACTGACAGGCCCTGGCCGAGGGGCAGCCGCGCTGGCTTATTTATTAACAGAGGATAACCCTTGAATGTAGCCCCTGGAGGGTGGCCCAGGCCTTGCACAGGGTCCGGCTGGTGGCTGGCTGGGAGAAGGTAGAGAAGCAAGGCTCCAGAGCCACGACCTGGGCGGGGGAGGTGACCGGAGTGCTCACCCTGGGGGAAGGACCTCCTCCTTGGGCAGTGAGCAGAAAGCTGTGAACAGCCTGGGCTGGTGGGGGTGGGGGTGGGGCAGGCCGACTGTACTAATGCAATAAACACACTATCAGCTGAAGTTGGAATGGCCCCAGCAGACAACCGCTGGTCCTAGGTCTTGCTGTGTGGCCTTGGGCACCTTCCTAGCTGTCTCAGGACCTCAGTTTTTTCTGTCTAAGGATGCTGCGGGGAGGATTAAAGGTGGTTTCCATGTGACGGAGTGGATTCTGTAGGGCCTTTGGGGATACTGACATGTCCAGTATATTCTGAATAATATAGTTTCTGGGCTAAGTGCTATGAAGAAAATAAAATTGGGTGATGTGGAAAAGAATGTGAGCAGAAGGCCTCACTGAGGGGGTGACATTTGAGCTAAATGGCAAGGAGCCAGCCATGGGAATATCTGGGAACAGGGCATTCCAGGAGGGAACAGCCAGTAGCAAAGGGCCTGAGGTGGGAACAAGCTTGCTGTGTTTGAGGAATTATCAAAGAGGCCAGTGTGATAACAGTGGAGTGATGGATTTGGGACGTTTTAGGAGGTAGAGCCCACTGTCTTTGTCCCATTTGGGAAGGAGGGGACACAGGGGTCCAATGGCAGAGGGTGGGCCCTAAGCTGGACCACTTCCTCCCTTCAAGGGTAAGTGGTGCCATGCATCCTCACAAGGCTTCGTGTGAGCTGTATGCCCTTGTGGAGGGAGAAGGATCAAAACTGCATTGTGCTAAATGCTTCAGACGTGGTTGTATTTCTATTCTCACATGTACTGTGCTGGGGAGGAACCACTGTTAGTCCTGTTTTACAGATGAGAAAACAGGTCAGAGAGGGGGCAATCTTTTACTCAAGGTTGTAAGCTTAGTATTGTGAGCACCAGCCTTCAACCTGGGTCTGCCCACTGACCAGCATGGATGCCTGTGTGTATGGGGGTGTCTCTGCCCCTTTTTGCAGCTCCCAGAGCCCTCATGGCACTGGGCTCCACTTGTCCATCACCCCCAATCCCTGAAGCCAGCAGGTCACACAGTGGTGGGTGCATGTCCCACATTTGCTTGGAAGAGATGACCCAGCTATGGGTGGTGTCTTTGGGAGTGGAGGGGTGGAGATGCACAGGGCTGCAGGCAAGGCTGCCTTGTGGGGCATTGCTGGAGGTGAGCCTGAGGCGGCTTGTCTGGATGAAGATGAGGCCTGTGCATATGTGGGGGTGGCAGGGTTCCCTGGGAAAGCCCCTGTGCACATGCACTAGTGAAGGTGCCATTTGCACTCTCGCCTGGGCTCCATCACTAGGTATAGTCCAGGCTGGCCCATGTGGGTCACTCCTCCCCTTCCTGTGGCTGAGCGCTGTCTCCTCTAAATATAGCCCAGTGGGCCGAGCTCAGGCCTATTTTAGGCCCAGGCTAGGAGGTGGCCAGGCCTTCCCCAGGCTCTCAGAAGAGCCACTGCTGCCTCCACCCTGTGCTGCTACTGGACACTATCATCAGCCCCGACTGCCCACCACCCGCTATGCCTGACGAGACCAGAGAAGGTAGGAGATGACTGTGAGGAAGGGCCGGGCCCTGGGCCTGTGACCCTGTGGACCATGAAGAAACCTGCCCCCTGTTCCACCGACCTCACTTCCTTGACTAGTCATCAGTCACCATGTCCCAGCTCAAGTAAAGGGACCTGCCCCCTGTGCACAGAGGTAGGGCCTACCATGCCTGGAACCCCTCCTCACCTCAGGCCTTGCCTGTTTCCCCTGCTAGGGATAGCAGGGAGTGACTGTGGGGAGCTACCCAGTTCGGGGAGGGTCAACTATAGGCTGTGCCCAAGTGGGTGTGGGCCAGGCAGATGCCTGGCCAGTTCCGCTCTTCCTTCAGGGAGGAAGCTGGGATTGGGGGTTGGCAATGGTTCCAGGAAGCATTTGGCCACATGGCTCAGGGACTGGGAATGGATAGGCTTCTGGCCTCCTCCAACCTGGGACTAGGTTCCCCCAACTGGCTAAAAGTTGGGGTCCCCTGGCCTGGCCAGATTGACTGCTAGTTAAGAGTTGGGTGGCTGCCCACCTAACTCCCCGCCACATGCAAGAAGTACAGCGCCTCAGAGAGGCCAGAGCAGGGGACCCAGGAAGCTTCAGGTTCGGTGCTGGCCAGGATGCAGGACCAGTTGCTCCAGGGCTCCAGCTTGGCCCAGCTGGTTAACTCCCCCATGACATTTTCTTCTTTTGTTTTTTCTCCCCAAAGCCCCCAGTACATAGTTGTATGTCCTTCTAGTACTGTGTGGGATGCCCTTGGCATGGCTTGATCAGTGGTGAGTAGGTCCATGTCCAGGATCTGACCTGGTGAACTCCAGGCCGCCCAAGTGGAACACGCAAACTTAACCGCTGTGCCACCAGGCCGCCTGCCCCCTCATCATATTTTCAACATTTTACACTGGGTGGGAGGTGCCTGGCCCCGGTGGGGGGGATGTTTGCCTCCTCATGGGGTCGTAACAATGACATTTACTGTGTATTTTCCCTGGTAACAAATAGAATCCGATTTCCACTTTCAATTTAGAAAGTGTGGGAAAAGCACAGCGAAGTGCAAAGAGGGAATTTAATATGATCCCCAACACCACCCTGACGAATGCCTGGCAGCATGTTTTTGTTGTACTTACTTTTGAGCATGTCAAGAGCCAGTTTCAAGCAAATCAGGAAGGTTGTGTTACTGCTCTGAAACTGACAGAGCCAGAGAGTCCAATCGCCCTGCTTCTATCAGGAGGTGGCCCTTCTATGCCCCCACTTTATTATCTAGCTTCCAACTGGGCATCTGGAGGGCTTCAGGGGCCAAGATTTTTTAAAAAAATCAAGTCAAAGAACAACCAGGAGAAAATATAATCTTGAGACAAAATAAACACTTTGATGGGTCCAAAAATAATTAAAATCACAAGAAAAGTAGACCCCAGTGACTAAATAGGCAGAGGCTGTGAATGGATAATTAGGAGGCTACACACATATTGGTCAGCGCCACACCCCCCCCGCCCCAGGCAAAGAAATCCAACCAAATTGGTCAAGAAAGGCCTTTTCTCATCTCCCAACTTAGCACATACCTGTGTGTGCACGTATGTGTATCAATTTTTTTTTCAATGGAGATGCCTAGTGGTGGCAATGTTGTACCATTTTGGGGGCTGTGGACAGCCATTCTGGAGGATGATTCGATGATAGCTTTTTATTTATTTTTTTGTGAGGAAGATTAGCCCTGAGCTAACATACGATGCCAATCCTCCTCTTTTTGCTGAGGAAGATTGGCCCTGGGCTAATATCCGTGCCCATCTTCCTCTACTTTATGTGGGACGCCGCCACAGCATGGCTTGACAAGCGGTGCATCGGTGCACGCCCAGGATCTGAACCTGCAAACCCCGGGCCACAGAAGCGGAGCGCACACACTTAACCGCTACGCCACCAGGCTGGCACCTCAATGATAGCATTAAAAAAAAGTCCCTGCTCTTTCATCCAGTAATTCTGCTTCTGGGAATCTGTCCTTAATAACTATTGGGAAATTGGAAAAAACCTTCATACTCAATGATGCATCTCCTTTTCTAGGGGTTATTAATTTCGGAAGGGAACTGGAAACAACCTAAATGCCCAGGCAGCCTCAAAGGGATGCCCGAAGGGAGACCTCAGAGGCAGTGAAACAGTTTGATAACAAAGGCAGGTCTCCTGTTGTGCTGTTGAGTGTAAACAGCAGGGGTCACAGAAGTACAGCAGGATTAAGCTGAGTATGTTGAAGCAGAGCCAAGGCCAGGAGGAAAAGGCACCAGCCAGCTAGAAGGGGGCGCTGCTGCTGGGGACAGGAGAAGGCACCAGGCACCGTGTCTGGCCTGATGGCTAACTCAGGGTCTGCAGGGAAAACTGAGAGCAGAAGAGGCAGGAATGAATTTCATGCACTGTAGGTTTAGTCCTCCAAGGCTGATAAACTCTTCTCCAGAAGTGAGCAGGCAGAGAAACGCCTGACAGTGCTTGAGGTGCATGGAAGGAAACAACGTGAGCAAGTCAAGTGCAGTTCCTGCTGTTGCGGGTGGAACAGGCCTATGGGGTTCTGGGATTGTCCTGGCTCCAAATCAAGGATCATTCCTGAGTTAGTTTTAGGAAATTAGGAGCCAAATGCCCCTTTGTCCTGTCCCCATCTTCTCTGAGCCCCTGCTGCCACTGGAAGCCACCTAGAAGGGAGAGGGTGACCCGCTGGCTGAATCAGCCCCACACTGCTCGTGCAGACACCATGGCACCAACGCTGAGCTCAAGGAGCAGGGCACCGCTGGCCCCCAACCATGTGCAGGAGGTGTGCTTGCACCGTGTGGAGTCCATCAGCGACCTACACAGTGGAGGTGAGGGCGGGGGCAGGGGAGTGGGGTGGATGCACTGAATGGGGAGGAAAGCAGGCGCACCTGCCGCCCTCCTGATGCCCCATCTGCCCCACAGGTTTGCTGCGACCCTACCTGGCGGAGGAGGCGCAGCCATGGGATGAGCTGCTAAGCATCTTGCCGCCATCGCTGTGCACTCAGGCCAGCTGCAGCCCTGTGTGTTGCCGCGGGGGTTTCCTGCTGCTGCTTGTGCTGCTAGTGCTCACCTGCCTGGCGCTTGCTGTCCTGGCTGTCTACCTGAGTGGTAAGGACAGTGCAGGAAGCCAGGGGCAACCGAGTGCAAGGAAGTGGGACCAGGAGGCCTTTCTGCACTGTTGGAGGGAACAACTGCAGAGACTGAGGCAGTGAAGGGTGGGGTGGAGGGTTTGAGGGCACCCTCTGGTGCTGGGCTGGGTGGGTGGGGAGTTGAGGGGTGGCACGTGGTCTGATAATCCCCATTCCTACCTGCCCGTCCACAGTGCTGCAGAGCGAATCCCTACACATGCTGGCGCACACACTGCACACGCAGGAGGAGATGCTCCTCAAACTCCGGCTTGCCAGCCTCAGCCAGCTGCGGAGGCTCAACTCCAGCGAGGCCCGAGCAGCCAGTTGAGATGCCACTTGGACCTGGGGACTGGGGGTTTGTGTAGGGGGGAATAAAGTGGCCGTTCGCAGGTTTCTCCTCTCCCACTGCTGCTCCACACTACTTCCTTGGTGAGGTTTTTGTACAAGAGACTGATCTGACCCCACAGCTGCCTGCCCACCTCTTCTGACTTCTTCAGGCCAGGCCCAGCCAAGCCTTCTGGTGCCAAGGCCCTGCTCTGGGTGGCCCAAGGTCAGAGGAAGTAACACCAGCCTCCTGGCTCCTCCTGTGGCCTGTCAGCACCCTCTAGCCTCCCCAAGATAGCAGGTTCAGAAGTCTAGAAATAGCTGCCCCCACCCCAGTCAACCAAACTCTGCCAGGCCTCCCAGTGAGGGTCCAGCATCAGCTGTCAAAAGACAGGCTGGGCTCTGAGTAGGGGGAGGAGAGCTACCTGGGGAGACAATGTCTTGGAGGGCAAAGGTGAGATGGAGATGGGTGAGATCTAGCTAGACCTAAGCATGGGGTAGTGGATGGGGAGGGAGGGCAGGCAGAAACACCTAGGAGCCAGGGCCACAAAAGGCTGAGCATTCAGTTTAATTATCTCTAATAATCTTTAAAAGTCAGCCATAAATCAATTCCAGGTAGCCTCCCTCTCCCCAGCTGATGTGGTGGCATTTGTCCAGATGCCATTCCCCCCCAAGGAAGTGGTTGATCCCAGGGGAGCAAGGCCTGAGAAAGGAAAGAAAGGAAGGGACAGCCCTCCTCCTGCCTGCCCCACAGCCCTGGGACAGGCACACATCTGGCCTGGCCTGAGACAGGGCAGGAAGAGACCACAGGGCTGAGCGCAGGGGTGAAGGGCCTGGCTTCCAGCCACCCAGCCCCATGTCTGTTTTTGGTTTTGTCCTTAAAAAAATAAAGCAACAATTCCTGGCAGGGACCAGCTGTTGCACTGTCTTCTGTTAAAAATGTGGGCAAGGGTGTGGACACTCTCCTCTTCAGCTGGTCCTGCCTCACAGGATGTCTGCCCGCTTGTCCCGCACGCGGCTGCGTGCCTTGGTCCGGGCTTTGAAGGCGGCAGCGTTGTATAGGTGCTGGAATGGGGGGCAAAGAGTGATGATCTGGTGAGCTAGGGTGTGGGAGACCTAGGGCTTTTCCTCCAGCCCCTGCAGAGCTCCAGGCCTCTGGGCCACAGGAATGGAGGGAAGATAAAGGTGCCCAAGGGTGCAAACCTTCTCAAAACGTGAGATCTTGCAGGCCTTCAGGGCAGTGGCATCCAGCACCAGCACAGGGCCCAGGCCAAAGATGTCACGGAGTAGCTCGTTGTTCTGGGGGCAAAGAGGGCAGTGAGCTCAGGCAAGTCTGAAGCAGCCAAACTGGATGCGCCCTCCCTGTCTGCCTCCCTACCTGGAGGTGGTGGTGCATGCCCGATCCCAGCACATTCTTGAAGGTGGCATAGATCCGGCGCCGAGCCCAGCTGTCCACATAGAGCACCTCGAGCCCGAATCGGACCGTCTCCTCCTCACACTCGCCGCCCTGCAGGGTAGAGGTGTCCACATGCCTGGGCCTGGCAGCTGTGCCTGGGGATGCACTCTCGCTAGGATACATACATTCTCACACATACCTCAACAAAGTGCAGCACAGCACGGAAGGTAGAGCGCTGACGCCGGCGGTCAGCCTTGGCACGGTACTTATTGCTGTCGGTGGCCAGAGTGCGCAGGGCACTGCAGAGGGCCTCCGTGTCCTCATAAATAAAGTCCTCCTGCAGAGGGAGTGATGGAGAGTGTGTGAGCAGAAGCCTGAGCTCTGCTGGCTCTCAACATGGGGCTGCCCAAACCCATCCTTTCACTGAGGAAGTCATTTTCTTCTCTGCCCTTGAATCTCTTCTTGGTCCCTGCCTGGGCTGGACATCCCTGCTCAGGGTCTCCATCACAGCACCTGGCATCTGAGTCTGTTTTGGGGCTTCCCCATTCCATAATGATGTAAGGCTGCCCTGTTTCCTGTGGCATCCCCTGCGCCCAGCCTGGGATGGTCAGGTAGGGTCAGCAGGCACCCTCCCTCTGTCCCCACCCTCTCTCACACCTCAAGGTCCCGAGCAAGCTCAAAGAGCAATGCGATGGTCTCGCCGGCAGCGATCCGCAGGTTCACACTTTCGCTGGACAAGAGCTGGGGCAGCCGGGGCAGCTGCCTGGGGAAGGGGCAGGCTGAGCTACACGTGTGGGCTGGGGGCCTCTTTGCCTTTTCCCTCCCACTCCCAGTGGGAAGTCAGCCCTACCTGTCCAGGATGTGGCTGATGTGGCTGCTAGGGCAGATGGTGAGTAGCAATGCCCAGGCCTGCAGGGCAGCACAGAGCAGGCCATGCAGGCTGACAGGGAACACAGGGGCTGTGGAGCCACCCACACCACAGGGCCGGCTGAAAACACCTTCCAAGCAGGTGAGACAAGAGACCAGGTCCTAGGAGCACAGGGAAGCAGGAGAGTGGCTCAGGGGCAGAGCTAGGGCTTAGGTGCTCTACTACCTGTGCCCAAAGGCCACTTACCTGGACATCGGCGGCAGCCACGTAGCAGCCCAAGCCAAGAGCAGAAGCGCACTGTTGGGAAGAGGGCAAAGCCGGGCCATGAGGAGAGGGTGAGCCTGGGTTCCCAGCCATGGGGCTCACCCTCAGAGTAGAGTAGCCTAGAGGCAGGTGGAACCCACCTCTCTGCCTACGGATTAGGTGAGGGAAAGGTGTCCTGAAGCATGGAACACTTACGTGGAGCCGGGCAGCAGGGCTGGCTGTGCTGTCACTGAGCACAGAGACCAGGAGGGGCTGCAGACTGTGGAATAACTCCTCGCCCCTGGATCCAGGGCCCAGCTGCACGCAGAGCAGGCCTAGCACAGCAGCGGCCAGGGCCTGTTCCTCACCCTTCCCTGCAGGAATGCTTTCCAGTCAGCACATGCAGCAAGGGTCAGCACCCAGCCAGTTCAGGCCCCCCCTGTGCCCCCTGGCCTAACCTTTCCTGAGGCATTTTTCCAAGGCATCGGCCAGCGTGAGGCGGCGCTCCAGCAAGAAGTCGGGGAGTAGGTGGGACGCGAGGGCCAGGCGCAGGCTCTCAAGAGCACCTTGCCGGGTCTTGGCACTGGGGGATGAAGAAGGGGGGGTCTTGTGGGCCAGCCCCAGCTGGGTCACATTTGGCATGGGCTGAGTAGGGACATGGGTGTAGGGATTGGCGGGCAGTGACGGGTACCTCTTATCTGTGAGGCAGTCCACATACTCCTTCAACTTCTCCTCAAGGTCTTCCTGCTGGCCCTGCTCATCCAGGGCATCCCCCCCTGCAAGGCCAGCTGGTCAGCCGTGCTTCTTGTCCTAGCCTACGGAGCCCCCACTGAGTCCCTGCCAAACTCCCACCCACTCTCACCAAGGCTGTCTTCTGCTGCGGTGCTGAGAAGGCTGGCACATTCACTGGTGGTGCTGCGGGTCTCACTGGCTGCCTCATCCTCACTGGAACCCGAGTCAGCTTGGGTACTGCCGCGGGCACCTGGGGAGGGTGGAACGGGGCACTTCGCCTGCCTTTATTGATGAGTGATGATTGGAGGTACCTCACCCAGCCTCATGACCCCACAAGACAGAATGCTGCCCCTCTCAGAGATAAGAACTGAGGCTGAGGTGGGAGGCACAGGGGCTGATGCAGGGGACACTGAACCAGGAAGCAGGAGAAATGAGGTCTACCTGCCGGAGAGCATCAGGCACCAGGCCCAGCCTAGGAAAATCTGACAGGCTTGGTGAGCAGAACCTCTCTGAGACCAGGGTCTGCTTTAAGGAAGAGCCTGATAGCCAGGTAGAGGCAGACGGGGCTGCACAGGCTCCACTTAGGCCTGTGGCCCAGCCTGGAGCTGGGGTATATCCAGGAAGATCCTGGGGGAGCTCAGTCACCAGCCCAGATTATGCCCCAAAATGGCCAGGGTTCAAATCCCAGCTCCACATCTTAACAGACACGGAACCAGGTCAGGTGCCTAGCCTTCAAAGCCTCAGTTTCTCCATCTGCAAAACAGAGATGCAAAAGCACCTCTTTCTGGTAGGGCAAGTGAAGACAATGACTAAACAAGTGACTAGTTATGGCTCATCTGTGGGCCAACAAGCTCACCAGGTCACCCACCAGCCCCAGGGACAGAAGCCCAGCTCCTAGTGGATGTGGGTAGGTGCCCCAGGCTTCAAGCATACTGGCTTCTGGGCTGCCCTTGGTCTATTCCAGGCCTTCAGCCCTGGGTGGATGGACAAACAGGCTCCACCTGACCTAGGAAGTGCAAAAAGTGGAGTTTCCCCTGACTGCATAAGCCCCTGAAAATAGGTGAACACGGGACTGTCAGGGTCAGCAGATCTGGAACACTCTGGTGTGTGGGTTCTGCCCACGGCCAGAGGCTAACTATGACAGGTTCTGGTCACCAGGCTGGCCCTAGTTCTCAGGAACTACATACTCTACATGCCTGCCGGACAAAAGTCCAGCATGCACACAGGCCTCTGCTCACGTCCTCTCTCACTACCCTACTTGCCAAAGCAGTCCAGCCTTCCTTCATTTCCTCCACTGTACCATGGTCCCTTCAGATGCCAGGCCTTTGCACAACTTGCTCCCTCCACACGGTACACTCTTCTTCACTTGCTCAGGATTCTCCCAGAAGCTCCTCCCTTGAGGCCTCCTTGGTTCCTATGTCTGGGGCTTACACCACTCAGAGAATTTGTCCCCCAACACCAATCCTTATGGAATGTTGTTACTCTCTTAGATGTCACTCCACCCAAGCCCATTAGGGCAGTGGCCAAGTCTGAGCTGTGCCTAGCAGGCATCTCATCCCTGCAGAGTAAACATATGTGTTTACTGCACCAGGACACTCTCTTGGTCGAGGCTGATAAGCGTCTCAGGACTGCTTCAGGCTCCAGGGGACTCATCCACCTTCTAGGGCCAGGCCCACCAAGGCCTGAATCTTGCAGTTTCCCCATCACCCCCTCCCTCAGTTCTCCCGGGCAGGCCAGGCCCCGGGACCAGGTCAACTTCCTAGTCCAGTCCAGGAAAGCATCAGGGATTGGCGAGGGGTCCGGCTTCCTGCTCTGTCCGGCGGGTTTGTCCAGCACAGCAGGCAATTGGGGTGGAAGGGCAATGGGGAAACCGAGGCCAGAAGGTGCTGACCGGATTAGGGCTGGGAGCGCGGGCTCTTGGCGGACCAACAGCTCGCTCAAGTTGGGCGCACACGTGGCCCCTGCCTCCTGGGACACGTGCCGGAAGCGGGGGAATTCGGGGAGGCGGCGCCAGGGTGGTCCAGGCAGGAGTCCCCGCCCAAGACCCTCGGGCACGCCGACAGGGACCCACGGAAGGCTCCCGCTCGCCGGTCATCAGCTGCCCAGTGCCCCCCACTTACCCCCTCGGCGGCGCTGGCCGCCCTTCCGGGACGCACTGCCCTTACGGGCACGGGGCATGCCGGGAATCGGGCGCGGGGGCGCGGGGTCAGAGGCCCGGCAGGCGAGGGCTCCAGACCAGCGACACGCTGGCCGGTGCGCTGAGCTGACACTTGGGCAGACGACGAGAGCTACACGCCGCGCGCGCCACCATCTTCGCGAGGCGCCCCGCCCTGCCAAGCAAGTCGAAGCGCCCCGCCCTGCTAAACGGGTCGCCGGGAAGGCGAGTTCCCGGCCATTCGGTTCAGACTCGCATCCACGTGTCCGAAACTACTATTCCCAGGGGGCTGCGCGCGCAAATTACCGCCGGCCGGCTTGGCGCAGATCACCTCGGGAATTGTAGTCTACTGCTTGGACCCATAGGCCCACGACGCTCTAGCTGAACTATGCACCCACAATGCCCTGAGTCCCTCCCAGCACGTGCACACATGCATAGTCCTTAACTCTGAAGCTGCCCCTTGGGGCCACCCACCATAATAGGACCGGCATCTCACGCAGGACTTTCAGTGGGACACACGCGACAGGAAAAGCATGGGGCTTGGTAGAACGGGGGGGGGGGGGGGGGGGGGCAAACCGCAGGCAGTGAAAGAAAAAGTGACTTTATGATGAAAGCAGAGTACAGACAACAACTTAGCACTTATAGACCTTAGCCAAGATCCTCTTGGGGCCCACCTGCCCCTGGACGCGTCTCCTGGTACCTCTCCATGGACCCAGTGATGTGTAGGAACAGAGCCCTGGGCTGGCAACTCTAACCATCTGGAACCCTGACTCTCCCTGGGACTGCTTTGTTGGCAGGAGGGATCAGGTGATCTCAGAGGGCTTCTGGTTTTAAAATAGTGTTTTTTTGGCCCCTTCCACTCCCCAGGGATCCCATGGGAAGTGTGGTGTGTGTATTGGAGGAATGACTGTAAGCTAATGAGAGCAAGAGTGGGACAGATTCCTTCTTCCAGGACTGGGGAACAGGCAGCAGGGACAAGAAGGTCCGGTGCTTTATGCTGCTTCTTCAGGCCTGGGCTCCTGGCAGGTAGGGCCAGCCCCGCCCCGGTAACAGCGGCAGCTGAAGGACTCCCAAGCTCCAGGGCTGCCGTGTGGCTGCAGGTGCAGAAAGGCTTCCATTTGTTCTGGGTCTCGCCAGGCACAGCGCCCCTGGCCATGGCACCGCTGGTGACTGCAGGCCATGGCTGCCCTGGTCACATTGATTACATAGGGGCCCAGAGTGCCCACCAGGTAGTCATAGAGACGCCAGCACTCCTCCTGAGGAGAGGAAGGGATGTATCAATGCTCCTGCTCCATGGCCTAACATGGTCTCTCCCCAACCCTGGGACCCCAGCATGGGCTGCATAGCAGGCTGGAGGGGGCAATGATCACCTCAGAGCTGGAGAAGCTCAGATCCCCCCAGAGCACCACGCCGGCTGCCCCCAGTGCTGCGCCCACACCAATGGTCTGCACAAGGTCATCCTGAAGGTAGAGAGCTGCTAAGCCAGGGCTGGGCTGGCCAGATCCATCTGGGCCTATCTCCACCTTCAAGAAACTTTCTTGGCTCATTGCCATGATCTGATTCCACCTCTAGAGTAGGGCCCCTTGGCATTGAGCCTCCAAGTGGCTTCTCAGGCCCTCTACTTAGAGACTGCCTCCCCTCAGACCAGGGCTCCAAAGGCTGGGCCTTGCCTTCCCTCTCAAGATCGTCCAGGGCAGAGCCATATCTCCTTGTCAGATGCTCCAGGACAAGACCTCCCCTCTCAGAACTAGATCAGGGCCTCCCCCTCAAACTCCCCTGGACAAGGTCTTCTCAGACCTTCCTAGGACAGAGCCATGCCTCCCCACTCAGTCCCCTACACCTCAGCTTTCACTCACCTGGGACAGGAACCTCCCAGAGCTCCAGTGTGTGAGGCGGGCATAGGCCAGGACAGGCAGGGGATGTGGATGCCCAGCGAGGGCCACACGGAAGGCCTCCTCCAGGCGGTATCAGACAAATGCCTGGTGGTGAGTAGGCGGCAGCCGGCAGCCTGGGTGGGAGGTAGATGCTGGGGAAGAGGGCGCTAGAGGCAGCCCAGAGCCAATGCAGTTGGGTGTTGCAGGCAAGGGTGGCTGCGTGGCAGTGGCCCGTGTAATTGGAAGGCATACCATGCCAGCCATTGCCACAGGCTGGGAAGTAATAGAAGCCCCAGAGCCCACAGGGCTGCAGTGCCTGGCCCAGCTGCAGCGTGTCCTCCATCAGTGCACGGACTGCCTGTTCAAAGCCAGTTTGGGCCTTGTGGAGCTGCTCCTGGGGGTCTAGGTAGGGGAACAGCCGCTGTGCCCAAGCCCATGAGGCTGCAGGATAGGCTTGGCGGTGGCCCCAGTTCCCAGCCCAAAGGGGACTCCATTCCTCCCAGTCCAGCACTGCCAGGCCAATGAAGCCAGGTCCCAGGCTGTGGTGGATCTGGTAGGCAGCCTGTGCCAGGTGGCGGTCAAGGGGCACAGCCTGGGGGATGCCCCCATTGTGAGCTGTGCCCCTGGGCCCAAGGTAGGGATAGAGGCCGAGCTGGTTCTTGTAGAAGATGGTGACGTTCTGGCCATGGAAACGCTGGCCACGGTTGGCTGTGATGCCCAGGGCCTCTAGTGGAAGGTGCACACCAAAGCGGGCAATACAGTGTGCTGAGGGTATGTTCCACAGCACCGAGAAGGGGCGTTCAGGGGCCTGCAGCAGGGGCTGGCCACACCCCAGACACAAGGCCACCCCTAGCACCAGGGCTGGGCTTAGCTGCATGGTCATGTCTCAGGGATGGAAACCTGCAGGAGAGACGGAGTGTAAGCTTAGAGTCTCCGGTCATGGCCACACCTTCCATACAGCAGGGAAATCTAGGAAAACTCCCCCAGCTCCTCCCCACAAGGATGGGAGGGTGGGGAAAGCATGGTCCCCCAGGGGCCCCATAGGCCTCTCAGAGCAACTACACCTCAAGCTGGCCTGGGCATCTCCCCTCCCATGTTGTCTATATCTGTCCTGGCAGCACTGTGCCCTCGGACACCTCCCCCACCCCCAGCTCTCACAAGTCCCCCCCCTTTTTTTTGTGAGGAAGATCAGCCCTCAGCTAACATCCGATGCCAATCCTCTTTTTTTTTTTTTCCACTGAGGAAGATGGGCCCTGGGCTAACATCCGTGCCCATCTTCTTCTATTTTATATGGGCAAAAACAAAAACAAAACAAAACAAAAACAAAAACAAAATAAATAAAAAAATAAAAGGGGCCAGCCTGGTGGCGCAAGTGGTTGGGTGCACGCACTCTGCTTTGGCGGCCCGGGGTCCGCAGGTTCGGATCCCGGGTGTGCACCGACGCACCACTTGTCAGGCGGTGCTGTGGCAGCGTCCCATGTAAAGTGGAGGAAGATGGGCATGGATGTTAGCTCAAGGCCAGTCTTCCTCAAGAAAAAAGGGGAGGAGTGGCATCAGATGTTGGCTCAGGGCTAGTCCTCACACACACAAAAAATTTTTATGTGGGACACTGCCACAGCATGGCTTGACAAGCGGTGCATCAGTGCGCACCCGGGATCTGAACATGTGAACCCTGGGCTGCCTAAGCAGAGCGCGCGCACTTAACCGCTGTGCCACCGGGCCAGCCCCCACAAGTCCCCTTCTCTCCTCTGCCCATCTTGTTTCCTGCCCCAAGAACACTCAGCCCCCACCTTGCTTGGCCTAATTCCTACTCAGCACTCAGGTCTCTGCTGTGACATCACCTCCCCTAGGAGGTCTCCTGGATCTCCAGATGGAGTGAGGGCACTTGGGCTCCCACTGTCCCAGCATGGATCCTGCTACTGTATGCCTGTCTGTATCCCTGTCTATTTGTCCCCTTGGGTTGAGACCCTATCTGTCTAGTTCCCCATTGTCTATGCCCAGTCCAGGGCCTGACACAGAGTAGGTGCTCAGTGAATGGTGATGAATGAGTGAATGTGGACGGGAACAGACACCCTATCCCCTGGGCCTGGCAGAGTGGAAGCAGCAGAAGGCAGATGTCCCTCTATCCATGGCCCCAGGGCCAAGGTAGAGCTGGGGGCTCCTGCAGGTATAGGGGACCTAAGATGAGGCTGGGAGGCGAGGGTGAGGGTTAACAAATAAACTGTCACAGCCACACCCAACAGAAGCCTTTATTCAGCCACACTGACAGCTGTGAGCCAGAGCCATGGAGCCATCTCCTGGCCCCAGTGGCACTCAGGAAACACACTCAAGCTAAAGCTGCCCCCAGGGGCCAGCAGCTGAGGTATGGCCAGTGGGCTGAGGCTGGTACTGTCCTGGGCAGTCAACTGATCCACAAACACAGCGCCGTGCCCTGGGTGGCCCTCATATGTCTTTCTCCATCCAGAATACGGCGCATCCTCTCAGGTCTTGGTATTGTGTCTCCAGCAGACTTTGTGGAGGGGACCCTGCTGGGGGTAGGGTTGAGGTGGTCAAGGGCTCAGGCAGGGGAGGAGGTGGCGGCAATGATGGCCCCTTGGGGGCTCTTGGGGAAGCCTGGGCAGTCAGGCTAGGGGCCTTGCAGCGTGGCCGGGGGGAGGGGGCTCTGGAGAAGGCACTGAGCAGGTTGGCGGGCAGCCGTTGGCTGGTGAAGACCAGGCCCTGCACAGGCTCACCCAGCTGGTAGCCCAGGTGCGCATAAAAATGCAGCTGGTCATGTGTGGTAAGGTGTAGTCGGCGGAAGCCCCGGGCGTGAGCAAAGACCTCCAGGCCCTCCATGAGGCGGCGGCCAAAGCCACGGCCCCTCAGGGCCCGGGCCACCACCACTGTCTCCACTAGGAGGCTCTGGGGCCGGTCCAGCACTCGTGAGAGGCGGGCATGGCCCACCACAATGGGTGCTGCCTCGGGGGTGGGGTGGGGGCTCAGCAGCATCAGGCAGAGAGGGAAGGCGTCTGAGGACTGGCCCAAGGAGTGCAGGCGGGAGGCGCGGCTGCGGGGCCACTGCTCATTGATGAGGTCCGCACAGGCATCCAGGAGCTCAGGTCGGCAGTGCACAGGCTCCAGGGTCAGCTCAGTTGAGCCAGGACAGAGGGTCATCTCTGGATGGCATGTGGAACCCGGGGTCAGCTCAGCTAGCCTGGGGCTCAGGGTCAGCTCTGGCTGGTGTGCAGGATCCAGGGTCAGCTTGGCCAGGTTGGATCTCAGGGTCAACTCTGGCTGGCATGCAGGATCCAGAGTCAGCTCGGCTGGGCTGGTACTCAGGATCAGCTACATCTGGTTTATAGGGTCTAGGGTAGGGGTCAGCTTGGCTGGGCCAGGAGTCAGAGTCAGCTCTCGCCTACATGTAGGATCCAGGCTCAGCTGAGTCAGGCTGGGAGCCAAGGTTACCTCCTGCTGGGTTGCAGGTGTGTCAGTGCCAAGTTGGGGGTTAAGGCCACAATCTCCAGGTAGTGGCATTTCCTCAGACCACAAGGGTGCTCCTCCTGTGGACAACAGCCATGCTGGGCTGTGCCAGGAGGTAGGACAGGGCTGGGGCAGCGAGAGGCTGACACAGTGCTAGGGAGGCCATGCATCCTAGAACTAGTGGGCTGCACCTTGTCCCAATACTCACCTGATGGCGCAGGTGACGTGTAGGAGACCCATCCCCTATACCTGGAGGAGATGACTCAGGTGGAGAGCAGAGGGGATGGGTCCAGGGTGTCCTGCCCCACATGGGACAGACGCTGAGGGCTATAGGCTTGGGCAAAACTCAAGAGCCCTGGTCCCAGCCTGCTCTGGCTACAACTTTGTCAGGACAGTTGATCCAGCCCCATACCACCGTGGCTGGTTGGCCACCGGACAGAACATGCAAACTAGACACCACGACCCCCTGCTTGAACCCACCCAAGTCTCCTTAGCTGCCCCTAGGAGTTCCCCTGTCCCTCCCTTCTCCCTACATTCCAGGCCCCAGCCTTTCTGACCACCTGGGCCATGCCCGCCACCTAACCAATCGTAGGGTGATACCCACCCATCAGGCTGTTTTCCCCTCCCTGGACTGCCTTCCCTACCTGGGGCACAGAGCCCATGGCCCCCTCCCCAACTTTGCCCAGCCCAGGACACTTTGATTGGGCATGGACCCAACTGTTCCCTCAGATATGGCCCCAGCAGCTCTAGCAAGGGGCCTAGCTCAGCCACACAGCAATGTGGCTCCTGCAAGCCTGGTTCCCCACTGGCCTGAGTTTCGTAGCCACTCTAGATAAGGACCACAGCTTCCTTCCTACATCTACAAGGGTGTCCAACGGCCACCAGGTTGGGGGCCCAGAGCTCCTGCGCCCAAATCCCATTGTTTGCCCATCCTACCCCAGGCCCTGCTGGCAGGAGGGTCTATGCTGGGGGATTTCTGGGGGTCGGGGGGCTGCTGGGCCCCACCTTCTACTCACCTGCTCCAGAGGGGACTCCTGGCGTCCCTTCCCCACCTCCTCAGAAAGGCCCCCTGAGCTTGAGGCCAATTCCACACCGGTCAGTAACTGGTAGCCCCCTCCCCTCACACCACATTCCACTCAGAGGGCTATAAGCCCCTCACCTGCATCACCCACCTCCGCAGCAGCCGCACTCCCGGACCAGGAGCGCGGAGCCCCAGGATCCGCCCCCACGCCTGGAGCCCCAGACTTCCCCGCGAGCTTAACCCCTTCAGTGCTGACCCCACCCACTGTGGGCGGGGCTCCTGGGTCCTCAGAGAGGGGCGGCAGTCTCTCCTGTGCCTTGGTTTCCCCCTCCCTCCTAATGGGTGACAAACCGTGGGGTTTTGGGCGGTGGGGGCATCGAGGCTTTGACTCTGGGTGAGTGTGGCTCAGCATGCTCTGGGAGGGAACGACAGACGCAGGAAAGGCGTGCAGGGCGGCACAGCCATTTGAGGACCGCACGCGCGGAGCGGACGGGAAGCAGGGGGCGCAATGAGGGCTGACACGCCGCGCGTGGGAAGGGGGGCGGTACTGACATGTTGAAGCCGGGCTCGGGGTTGCTCCGCGTCCTCGCTCCGCACCGATGGGTATCTCGCTGTCTCTCGCTCGGGTTCTTTGGACCGCCCGCGCTGGCCCCTAGCGGTGCGGCGGACGCACTGCAGCCGTCGCGTCTCGCCGCGCACCATCTGCTCGAGTCCCCGCCCCCGTTCAGTACGTCGTAACACCGACCGCACGCACGCTCCGCTCTGGCTCCGCCTCTGCCCCTCTCGCCCCTGCCGAGCCGGGCCCTGCCCCCTGCGCGTCACAGCTTCGAGCGATCGCAGGCTCCATTTCCCCTTGGCTCCGCCTCTTCCTGCCCCGGCTATACAGGCGTCTGTGGCTCTGTGCGTCGCCGCTTAGGGCCTGCTCCGATTTGGCTCTGCGGAGGCCCTGCCCGGAGCCACCGTGTCACAGCCCCGGCCAGGTGCAAGCCCCTCCTCCAGCTGGCTCCGCTTCCGCCTCACCGTGCCCCGCCCCGGGCTCGGACAGGTCTCGCCCCAGCTCGGCTATCTCGGCTCCCACCGGCCTCCTGCCCCAGTCCAGCGTGGAGATAGTCAGGCGGAGCTTCCTCCTGAAATTTGGGCCCCACCCTGGGAAGCAGCCGCCCTCGGACAGACATCGGATCGGAGTGGGAGAGACGAGCCTTTCCTGTGCCCTCTGGATCCTGGAGCCTGCACGTTCTAGGCGCTCAATAAATAGCTCTTGAAGTGAGAATCATGTCTGCTTTATTTGCGGGGCTGTAGCCTCTTAACGGATTCGGGTGTGTGCAGGGCTGGTTACTATCAACACGCAGTAGGAGCCAAGGGCTCTACCTCTATAGCCAGACTGCCTGGGTTCGAATCTCAGCTTTTCCATTTTCTGGCTGTGCAACCTTCGGCAAAGTGCTTACCCTCCCTGTGTGTGCCTCAGTTTCCTCATAGCATCGTGTTAGGATTGAATGAGTTAGCTTACTTAAAATGCTTAGTACAGGACTTGGTGAAGAATAGGCACTCAGTGAATGTCAGTTCTTGTGATTGCTGTAGTTTAAAGACTGGCTCAGTGTCTCTCTCTGGAGATGTTTATGACCCTCCTGCGTGGGTACCTAAGGCTCTCTCTTTTTTTTTGCTGAGGAAGATTCGCCCTGAGCTAGCATAGATGTTAGCTATGTGGGCTGCCACCACAGCATGGCTGATGAGTGGTGTAGGTCCAAGCCTGGGATCTGAACCCATGAACCCAGGCCATGGAAGTGGAGTGTGCTGAGCTTTAACTACTAGGCCACAGGGCTGGCCCCTGAGGCTCTAACTCTTTATGCAATTATCCCCGTCTGTAAGCATGTGTGCCTGTGCAGGCATATGCTTATGACCGTGGCAGAGTATACTCCTGACTGTGACCATGACTTGTGTGACTGTGCCTGTACTTGAGAAAGCTGTGGCCAAGCCCAGAGTGCATTAGGTGCGCAGTGTGTGCATCTGGTGTGTAGCCAATCACCACATGCCCTGCTGCTCACACCGTGCTCCCCTCCAGCCACGGTAGCAGTGACATTTGAACTCCACAGCCATCCGGGCCTGATCCTCAAGAGAGAGGGCACCTTGTAGGGTCAGGGGCCCACCACCAGGTGTGAGCTTGATGGAGAAACTGGCAGAGTTGAGGATGAGAAGGGCCTCGGGGTAACTGGGGTGCCAGGCACAGCGGCCATGGCCTGAGCACAGGGCTTGACTGCACAGAAGAGCGCCACTGGTCACGTTCAGGATGAAGGGCCCCAGCGTGCTGTCCACATATTCCTTGATGGCCTGGCATGATTCCTGGGTGGGAGGGGGAGTGTCAGGGATACCACGGCCATGCATGGGTCCACCTAGGGCGTTGAGGTACTCACCTGCTGGCCAGCCAGGACTGCAGGGGTAGAAAGGGTGGGCCAGGGTCTCCCCAGTCAGCCTGGCAGCACCACCCCTGCCCCTGCCCCTGCCCCCAGCCTGGGCCTGAGCTCACCTTGGTTCTTGTGTTCTCCCAGCTCACCCAGAGTACCACTCCTGCTGCCCCCTGGGCTGCACTCTCCCCCAGGCTGTGCTCCAGCTCGTCCTGGGGAAAGGGACAGCATCGTTCTGTGACGCCTCCCTCCCTCCCCACAGCAGATTGCTGTACTACCACTGGATGGGACAAATAATTCGTAACCCCCACCTGGGGCTGCCCTGGACCCAGTGGCCAGAGGCAAGCCTGTCCTCACCCTAGCCTGTAAGTGCCATGCAGGTGGCAACTACATCTTTCTGATGAATGCTGAATCATCTGTGCCTAGCACAGAGCTTGGCACACAGTAGGTGCTCAAAGAACGGGATCAAAGTGCCCCAAGGCTGTGTGGCCTCTGTTGCTTAGGACCTAATGCCTGACAAGGTAGGCTACAAGGTGGGCAGGGCCACAGAAGGAGACTTACCAGAGGTAGAAAGCGGTTCGTCATGTCATAGAAGATCTGGACATAGGGCAGCACTGGCAGATTGGGGTTCCCAGCACCCACAGCCACACGGAATGCCTCACCCACACGGTGCCGCACAAACGTCCGTGACTTCCCTGTGCCCTCCAGTGCTGCAGGTATGTAGATCCTGGGGTAGAGGGCATGGCTCTGGGCCCACAGCCACCCCAGCTGGTCGTTCTGGGCACGGATGCCCGGCGGGCACTGGCCTGTGTAGTTGGGGCTTAGAAAGTCATAGTTGTAGCAGTCAGGGAAGCCGTAGAAGCCCCAGAGGCCATGAGGCCGTAGTGCCTGTCCCAGCTGGAGGGTGCGTACCATCCAGGCCTGTGCAGCCCCCTGGAATTGGTCCCGAGCTGCTGCCTCCACCAAAGGAGCCGGCCAGTCGGGGTGCTGCCTCTGTACCAGTGCCCGTGAGCGCTGCCGGTAAATGTCCTTGGCGTCCCAGTTGAAGGCCCAGCGCGGGCGCCATGCCTCCCAGTCGATGACTGCCAGCCCTGAGAAGTTGGATGCAGGCATGGCAGCCAGGATGTCCTGGAATGTGTGGGCCAGGTGGGCATCCAGGCTGGCATTCTGGGGCAGGCCACCAAACACGGGCTCCCCAGTAGACGTGTAGTAGGGGTAGGTGCCCAGCTGGGAGCTGTAGAAAATGGTCATGTTAGGGCCACGGAAAGTCTGCCCTGGGTTGGCCACCACATCAAAGACACTGACGTCCACGTCCACGCCGTGTCTCTCCAGGCACCACTGGGTGTTTGCATTCCAGACGGTGGTGAAGGGCTGGTTGGGTACCACGGGGCCCCTGGGGCCTTGGGCCATGCCGAGCAATGTCAGGAAGAGAGCGCAGATGGGAAGCAGATGGGCTGCCATGGCACAGGGTAGGTCTAGGGAAACCTGGCCAGGGGAGGCAGAGCTGAGAGCAGGCCTTGAACTCTGACCCCTGCTCAGGGCAGGCAAACCAAGCTCCTTGCTCATTAATCCACCCCTGTTCTGGCTTCAGGTAAACATTGGCCTGCAGGGCTCAGGGAGGTCAGAGGGCAAAGGAGAGGCACGGAGGGGAATACTGCCACTGGAGGACACATCGAGTAGCCCCTTCCACCAGACCTCTGCCTTCTGTCTCCTGCAGGCCTTGCCCAGGCCTAAATTTGCCCACTCCTCTCTCCCAAGGGCCACAGAAGTCATGACATCTGTTCTGAGCAGAACGGCTAAGAGCCAGGCCCTCAGCCCCCGGGGCAGACCTGACTGACGAGGGGGCCTTTCCTGTCTTCTCCCCCAGGAATCCTCGCCAGCCATTGGAGGTAGGAGGGGTGCTCCATGACCAAGAACAGGTCAGCCCAGCCCTCCTTCTGCCCACCTGTCCCTGCTGACCTCAGGGCTGAAGGGCCTCATCTTCCAAACTTCCTGACCCCGGGGTTGAAGGCCTTAAGCAGGACTCAGCAAGATTCTGTTCCTCAAATCTGGCTCCAGCCACACCAGAGGCTCTTAGAGGAAGAAGCTGCTGTTGGAAACTCTGAGCTTTTGTAGGGGGTCGCCCCACCCAGTCTGGGGGCGGGCTGAGGGGCAGGCCCTGAGTTGGAGGGCTGGGCCAGGCAGCAGAGCCACCTCTGCAGCCCTAGCAAAGTTTCCCTGGTGGGGTGGGGGTGGGGGTGGAGGCTGGGCTGGAAGTGGCCCCTCCCACCCTGTCAGCACCAGGGTAGGGCTCTGTGCTTTATTTGGACTGGGGTGGGGTGGAGGCAGTGCCGCGGGGCTGCCGTCTGGGTGGCAGACCCAGCTGGGCAGGCCTGTCTGTGCTACTTGAGTCTGCTGTCTTGGGACTGTCTCCCCGAATGGCTGTGTTGTGACATTTGTGGGCTCTGGGTATTTTTGCCTTTGTGGGCCCCTTCTTCAAAAAAATATTTTAAAATATGTTACAAATATGTTGGTATAAATATAAATATAATCCAGACAGAATTCATTATTATGTATTTAGTACTAATATATATTTTCTTCTGATTAAAAACAATTAAAACATGTTTGTGGGCCCCTAGAAGTACTGTGGGCCCAGGCCCTGTGCCTAGTAGATAAGTCAACCCAGCTTTAGGGACCTGTGTCTGAAAGGCACAGTGTTCGTGAAGTCAGGCTGTGTCGTCACCCTTTGTATACGTGCTGAGTCAGTGACTGTATCTTTGTGAAGCCCCAGTTAGTGACTATCTGGGCCTGTGCACAAACTCCAGTAGAGTGTGTATGTGCGAGTGTGGGACCCAGTGCCTGGGACCGGGTGTGTGTGAGACCCCGTTGTCTTTTGACCATGAGAACCCACGTTTGTGTAACCAGGGGGAGAAGCGCGGGTGTCCAGTGACCACATGCTTGCTCATTCCTTTGTAGTTTCACTTGTTTGCTGATTCAGAAGCTGGTTATTGAGACCTGCTAGGTGCCCAGGCCCAGGCTTGCCTGCTAGGGTGGG